GCTTTGTATTTGGATTTCGCTCACTTCGGTGTATTCAGATCTGCAACCTAACTGTTCCACCAACGACAGGGACGTGTGCTATATTGTGAGTCCAGCACCTCTCAGTTTGTTGTCTGTTTTCTGGTGGACCTACAGCATCGTGCAGCCTGCAGAACAAGTGACTAATGTTTATGTTACATGATAACTTCAGAATCAGGCCACCCTTGGTAAGTTTGAATGCCCTGGGCGTTTTGATTGATGCTGACAAAATGAGATCTGGGTTGGGTCTGACCAGATGTCTGCAGGGAAGAGAAGTCTCAAATGTGCTCATATTTTAATTTTCTCTTAGATCAGCTACGAGATTCTCGGGAAAATCCCCATCCTCAAGAATCTTCGCTACAGAGAGAAGCAGGCAGGGAAAGATGTTACCCTCCAGGACGAACATCCAGATTTTCCAAATGCCAGCATACCAGCAGTGCTAAAGGAGACTGCCAAGACTGAGAACACGAGACCGCACACAGGGACCAGCCCTACCCACGTTGGACACTGTTCTGCTGGAAATGATTCCTTAAGTGCCAAATCAGATGTGCCTGGTGCATTCACTACTGTGTATGTGGGTAACCTACCTGCGGGCACAAGAGTGAGCGAGTTAAAGAGCACTTTGCGAGAACTCCATGTGACCCCTTTGCGCCTGAATTGGCAGGGAGCGCAGCACAGAGCTTTTCTCGATTACAAGGATAAAGTCGCAGCTGAGAGCGCTGTATCCTCTTTGAAAGGCTTGAGCCTGGGGGGTTGTACTTTGCGAGTTGAGCTGGCCAAGAATCAGAGAAGCAAAGGGCAAGTGGAAATCAACAGAAACCCAGCTCCGCAGGGAAAATAAGTGTGTTTTCATTGTTTAGCAAGAAGTCAACTTATTTTTTCCTTATTTTTTTTTAAAGATCTCAATCCAGGGTCTGATTCTGTAAGCTAAGCAGTAATAGGCACCGGTATGTAAAAAGCCAGCTTTACAAACAGATTGGCCTTACTAATTTGCACTTCTCATTTACCTTCTCTGGTTATGCAAATACACATGCAAATCAAATATTTGCATATGCTGATGTAAAAATGGCCATTTCTGCCCACAGTTAATGTATATGCTTGGGGATGAGCGAGTAGGGTTAGATGTGCTAGGGTGCATATTGATTTATACACATGTCGTGTTAGACAGTCTGATTGTTGACATCCTGCATGCAGTTAATTTTAGTCTGATATCTGTGTGCTGCTATAGGGGACCAGCAATGAGCGGCACGTGCAAAACTGCTTTTGCAGGTTTAGAGGCAAACGTAAAAAATTAAGCCCTGGGGTGCATGGTGCCCAAGGCATCCAAAGTGTAGCTGGGCAGGATTTCCACCTCCCCTCACCCGCCCCCCAAAAAAATCTGAAAATGGAAGACGGCTTGATTTTTGGCTTTGAAGATTCTAATACATTTTTGACAGAAGTGGAATCTTTTCAGGGAAAATGCTTTGTTCTGTTGGAAAGCCTTTTTCCATTAAAAAAGACATGTTCAAGGAATCTATTTTTTTTCGCCAGTCAATGCCAGTTGACACCAGCTGGCATAAGAGCACTCTGACCCTCCCTGGAGTCATGCTCAAAGTTCCTGTACTTTCTCTAAATGTTGTACATCTTATTCTGGGCTGGGAGACAAGACAAACATCACTTACCCTCCAAGCAATTTTAGGTCCCTTTTGCATGTTTGGATAGGTAAGCAGCATGGAATTATTTTTGCCGATACTGGCTGCTCTGATGATTCTCTATACTCACTGTAAAGTGAATATAACTCTGATTTAAGTGGACTTACATTAACATAAAATTGATGCGGGGTACTGGAGAGTCAGGATGTACAAATGCTGTTGGCAACTGATCAAGCACAGAGTTGTTTGAGAAATTACTAAGATAGTAGTAAAGCCTATTCGTTCTATGCCTCTATCGCCAGTACAGCATTTCAGTCGTCCCCTGTAACCGTGATGTCAGGTATCGATATGGGCTGGTAGTTCAAAGTGTCTCCAGAAAAGTTATTCTTTATATGAAGTGCTAGCTTGAATAATAGGCTTTGCAGACATCCTCCAAAACTCTCTTGTGCAGAGTAAATCAGAATTATGATTGGTTTGGAAAGACTTTATTTTATTCTATATTTTTTCAGTTCCTTATTCCTGAAAAACAAGTTGAATTTTGGCTGAACTAGCCTTTCTGAACAGAAGCACTTTTTGCCATTGATCCTGGGCAAAAAGTCAAAATAAACATTTAAATGGATATTTTACTTTTTTGAAAAAAAGTCTGACTTGGAAACATTTTTCTTTGCCAAAGCATATTGCTAAGTATATTTTAAGCACATTATTATGCCTCAAGGGGCAGACCTTTCGTACAGTATTAAAGAAAATGTTCTCAGGGCTATAGTATGTTTGGTGCATAAGGGTTCAAAGAAGACGTTGCTTTGACTTTTTGCAGTGAAAACAGGTGTGGTTTCTGAAGAAATAAAATTATACTCTCCAATGATGACTCTCTTCCTCACACTCAGAATTATTTTCAGTGCTTTAGAGAGCAAATTAAAATCATTACACAGCACTTCTCTCTGGTTTCTTTTTTATGTCAAATTGGGCATTTTAGAATATGAGACGTGTGTTTAAAGAAATTATGGAAGGAGAATTAAAAATAATCTAATACCCCTTTTCCTCAAATTACTGTAAATGGTGTGATTTCAGACCAGTTTATGCTCTCTCAACCTTCTGTAACCCTATTGGCTTCAGTGAAGATGACTGAATGTAACAGAAAGCTCTGTCCATAAATGCTTCAGAAGTAATCCTTCCCCAAATTGCAGTCAACCACTGCCAACTTTCTTTTGCTGCATTTCTGATTTTGACATCACACTTCAAATTTGTGGTTGTTCCTTATTCTACCTCACCTACCTGAACATCTGTAGTTAATTTATTCAGAATAGTTGCTGAGTTTTTAATACTTTCTATGTAACAGTTCTGGGGAGGCAAATGTATATATGTGGGATATGTTGTATTATTTTTAAATATGTATTTGGAAGCATTCTGGGAATTAAAGCTAGTTTTAACACTACTTTCAGTAATATGGCAAATCCCTGTTGTTTAGAAAATTACAAAAAAACCCTCCAAAAACAGAATTTAGTTTATGCTCAGCTTTATTTCAAAATAGAGAAATGTATTTAGAGTTCACCTGCACTTGGCGTTAGTACAGAACTTGTGATACACACAAATAGCTATCTTTTTCTAGGATGTAATATCCACATAGTATGTCCTGGCTCCTGCTTTTTTGGCTTGCACAAAGCCTGCAAAGATCCTGCTGTTTGGGTTTTCTTATCTGTGCAACTGTGCTCCATATATGCGGCCTATATTCAGTCCATGCCTTAGAAGGTAGGTGTCCATTTATGCACATCTCTCTTTTTTTTCCAGTCTTTTACTTGCTTTGTTCTACCGTAGGTATTGCTAGATCAGATATTGCAGCAGTTATCGAATTAATAGATTGGCCAGTTGATGCCTAACCAGACCCCGGGCAATCTGTTAACCAGAGTCAGCTAGTGTTAGGTCTGGTTAGTATCAGGAGATAAACAGCCTTTAGTTGAAACATCAGGATCCCACAGATTTAGCTAAGAATGAACAGTATGCAAACTATTCATTCGCTCTGTACATTGAGTGGGATGGGATGATTGTGATGTTGCTTTGCTGTCCTTCCAAACTTTATGATCTCCACTGTCAAGATGCATAACATTTATGGGACCTTGTTTTTCCTAGGAAAGCTGGAGCATGGGCTTTACTAACATGAGAATAAAGCATAGTGAAGACAAACTAGTACTGATTGCATGAGTTAGAAGGCCAGAGTAACTCCTACCTAGGCCATTTTCATAGTCTCTAACTCAGCCTGCTACAATGGCTACAGATGGTCGCTTTGACTAGCCTTTTCTTTCACTTTATTGAACCCAAGTTAAGGACATGCTGCTTTGTCCTAGTGAAGACAAACTCATAAAGTGTGTTAGGTCAGATACAGATCTTTAGTGGCCTGTTCCTGTAAAATCATGAAAATGAGGAGTGATTTGGCCAGAAACAAAAGATTTTTCCTGCAGATAGCAGCCCTTTACTTACTATAAAGCTCAGTCATGGGGCTGTGTTTTATGAATGCAGTACATTTGTTACGCTTGCTGAAACCTGTAACCTACAGAATCCTCTTCAGTTGTATTTCCAACAGGGGCTTGTCCTGCTATCCTTGAAGTGGATAAGAGGTCTGCCTTCTAACAGATTGGGCTCGTTTTGTGGGGGACAGCTTTCTCTGTGATTTTGAACATCTCCTGGTTAAAGCAAAAATCCAAATGCAAGGTGCGTTAATTACCTTTCAGTTTATAACCTCAAGAGGAGGGGTGCATTCAGCAGTCCAGGGCCCACGGCTCTCACCTACATGTGTTTCCCATTTCTCTTTCTCTATGGTGTGGATTCCCACTGCACTATAGCCAAGCCCTACCTGAAGAGACGACCAGTTGTCATGCTATGAGTTGAATAATTCACACCTCGTAGATCTATCTTTTTCAGCTTTCTGCAGACTCAGGCAGGTACCCATTCTCCTTGAGTGACATTTCCTAACTTTCCTTTGGATCTACATGAGCAAGAAACATTAAGATCTTTAGGTTATGATCCCAAGGAAAGAGGCTCTCGCCAAGGATTTATGGTACCCTTTTCTTAAGCTTAACCTAGGCAGGAATGTACAAGATGCTTTATTGATGGTCAGACCACAGGTTGCCATCCTGAACAGGCTTTGAAGATGAAAAGCTTTAGGGACATGCTATGACTATTCCATTTGCTGTGTATTTGCGACTATAAATCAAAGCACAGGTTATGCTCAGCCACAGATGCAGCATATTTTTCATCCACTGTAAATACAATAATGGGGCAGAATTGTTGCAGGTTACTTTCAAATCTCTTCTCTGTCACAGATTTCCTGCACCACCTTGGGCAAGTCACTTAAGCCCAGATACATGGGAGTTGGGCCTTTTAAGATAGATGATTAGTCTGTGCCCATTCCCCTCACTTCTCTCAGGAGCACAGCAATCAATGCATTCAAGATGGTGAACACCTCAAATCTTCCTGCCGCAGGTCATGTTAGCACTTACAAAATATGCTCTCTTGCTTAAGGAAAAAATTAAATAGTCTATGCTGGTCACAAATGGGGTTTCTTTTCATTTCTTGTCTGCGCAGTGGTACAACTGAATGCATTTCACCATATGTGAGAGAAGAGAAAGTTCAGCAGAACAATGAGAAATACCTAAAGTGGAGCCGAAGCCAACGTTGCTTAGAAGCAATTAAAAATAAGATCTGTCTATTCTTTCTGCAGCCTGGTGTGTCTCTTGTGTCCTTGCTTGTCATGTGGTTTGGTGCATTCTTTCCAGCTACTTTCATGGTACAAACAAATTAGGCCTCTTTATATTACTTATGCATGCACTGAGGGCTCCATCCTGTTAGATCCTGAGCAACACCTGGAGCTCTTGAGCACGAACAAGTCAGCTGGACCTTAATGGCAGCGCAGGGTGCAGAGAGCACAGCAGTAGCGAGCCTCGGCCGCGGAAGCGACCGCCCCAGGTGTTACACCCTGCAAATGGTTTTTCCAAGAAGCATTTTCCCCCACTCCGTTCTGTGCTAATTTGCGGGGAAGAGGATCGAAGGAATCGCGGGATCCAACAAGCTGAGCCTTGGACAGGACCATTCGGCATTAGAAACGTGGTCGCTTTGGAGCTGATCTTATTTTGTTGAGCGATATTAGTCACAGCACGGTGTGTGGCACTGAAATCCGAGGCAACGTAATCTGCTAACAATAAAACGGAGGTGGCTAGCTGCCACTCAGCGCTGAAGCTATATGATCGTTAGGGTTTTCCTCGAGACGTTTACGTCCGTGCGTTTCCTGGAACGAGAGCAAGGCCACACAGCTTCAATCCACCAAAAACAAGGAGGAGTAAACAAGGGCTGTTGCTGTGTAGTCTCTGGTGCCTGAGTGACAGAACAGAGACTGTTTCCCCAGACCAGAAAAACCAACCTCAGCCTAGGCTGGGAAGCCGTGGAAACCCTGATTCTGTTTCATGAAGGCAGGCCCTCACCCGCAGCGCCCCGCCAACTTAATTGGGGTTACGTGTGGGTCGATTCCTGCAAAGCAGATTCAGGGATCAGGGCATCGTTCTGGGAAAATTTTTCAGGTGAAGTAAATAGCATCATAGGATAGTAGGGCCTCGGGAAGTCATCTCATTCAACCCCACCACTGAAAGCAGGATCATCCCTGTCTAAACCACCCTAGACAAGTGTTTGTCTAAACCAGTGGTTCTCAACCATGGCACCCTGCAGTACCTTGAGTTCCTCCAAGGGTGCCATGGGCTACCGTGCAATATTAGCACTGTTCAATAGCTTTCATAGACATTAGGGGCTGGAAGGGACCTCGCAAGATCATCAGGTCCAGCCCCCCACCCCAGGGGCAGGAAGTCCGCTGGAGTCAGATCACCCGAGCAAGATAAGCGTGCAAGCGTTTCTTAAAGGTATCCAGAGTAGGTGCTTGCACCACTTCTGGGGAAGTCTATTCCAGACTCTGGAGACGCAGATGGTAAAGAAGTTTTTCCTTATGTCCAGTCTAAAACGGTCTTCCAGTGTGCAAATATGACTCAGAAGATAAACCAGAGATTTCATATAAGAATCCATACTGTCAGAAAGATAATGACCTATAGTTGACTAAAATATGCTCATGGGATCGAAGGAAGGAGACCATACTCCTTGCTATGGAGGACGGCCAAAACCCCTACAGTCCATCAAAATGTTGAATTTTTTATGGGTGGGGAATTCAATTAGCTTTTTAAATTTGGATAGAGAAAAGAACAGGAAATGTTGGTTACATTTTTCATTGCGGCATTTGAAACATTGTAACCACCTCTTTCTCCCAAGCGGAAGTAGGGCAAAAAATGTTTTCATGTTGTGCGATTTCTCCAGTTCATGTTCTTTATCAAGAACAGCCCCAATGAGCAGTCACTGGGGCGGAAACATCTGTAACCGTGGCCATTGAGACCATGTTAACTAGCAAAATGTACACAACAATCTGCATCACTTATGTTCTGAAAGATTTGATTTCCTCATTGCCACCTATTAACGATAATCTCCCTGACAAGCAAAAGAGCCACTTCCCATCTTTTCATCTATATTGTTCTTGTCATCTGTTATAAATATCACAGAGAATTATCCCTTCCCCACACTCACATAGGTAAAAAACAAAAAACCTTAGGATTTTTCATCTTTCCATCTTCAAAGCACTTAATAAATGTTTAGAGTCATGTATCCTGCCATTGTTCTGTGTATGGACATCTCACAGAAGTCAGTAGGAGAAATGATTTCAGGATATGGTCCTCACTAATTAATCTTCTTCCAATGGACCTGGTTAGCAATAGCCACATTTTACAGATGGGAGAGCTAAGGCTGTTGTAATTGGGCACCTGGGCGTAGACTCAACTGGGGAGGTTATGTATTGTGCTGCCTATGGAAGTCACTGCTGGAAGTTGGGTACCTAGGTTTCTAACTGGATTT